GATGGAGCCAGATGTGCTTTGTACAGCCTACGTGATTATTTTTTAATTCCTTGTTTGTGGAGTTGTTTGCAATTTGTGTGCAAAGTTCTGGACTTTGCTTGCAGGTTGAGATTAGGAAATGAGTTTCTATGAGACTGCATATAGAAATGTATCTCGTTGTTACCATTCATAGAATTGACTGTGCTTCTTTTGTGTGATTTACTATGACAAATGTAGGTAAGTAAAAATGTCTTGTATCTAGATTTAAAAAAAGAACAATCAGGAATGTTGATTCTGATTATTTTGTTTGCTTATTTTTTTAGCTTGTGTAGAATTTCAGTAACTTTATGGAAATGCGGGCATCATTTGTAAATACTTTCCTCCCTCTCTTTGTAAAGTTCATCCCTCCAGTTCTTGCCTTACTCTGTGTTGTTACATGGGAAATCTGCAGTCCTCTGTGTTGTGTACTTACCAACAGAGTTATCTAAAAACATGCCCTTAACTTTAGTAGGGCTCGTTCTTGTGTCAGTGTACCTATTCCGATTGTGCAAGATGTAATCTTAAAAGTGTGTGGTGTTTCATAATTTACATAATAATAGTACAATTTTTCATGGTTAACATAATAAAAAAAAATCTATGTAGTACAAAAAAAACCCCCACTGACATATGGTTTATATTTCTTTAGTACTCAGTGCCATACTAAATGGAAACAGCCATGGTCGGAGAAATGTACTCTCACTGCAGAACAGTCTCAAGTCCTCTCTGCAGCACGTTTAGGAGGTGTTAATGACCCCAATAATGAAATGCATTCATTAAGAGTGGCACATGGCAGCACCCTATAGTTTGGGTCCTGTCAGCACATTCATTGCATGTGACATATTTCAGGCTTCTGTGAAAAGAAACTTCACATAATAGCTGTAGTCGGCTAGCCGTATTTTCAGTAAATTTATATCACATCAAATAGTTTATTTTTGAACCGTAAGAAAGAAATGACTTAATAATTATTTGGGCTTCTAATACACTAAGTGTAACTTGCTAGGTTAGAGAGTCTTACGGCAATTCATTTAAATGTATAGTACTATAAATGAAAAAAAAAAAAGGGATATGTCAAGAGCTGAAATTTTGACACAGTTGCCTTATTCCTCTGTCAAAAATGCATGCTGGAGTACTTTCTGACCAGTGTTTTTTTCTTTACTCTGTTTACTTTCCAGGCTTTTGGTGATGCTGCCATTAATAAAGAGATTTCTGAACTCAAAGTACACTGTGTGACCCTTGGATGCAGTTGGTCTGGTATCATGAAAAATTTTGAAGTATGTTTAAAGGCAGTTTATTTAAATTAACATGCACTCTTATTTGAATGAGGACAGAAAGACAATGAAGCTAGGTTCTCAGCAAACACAAATAAATGCAATGTCATTAGAATCAGCAAAGGTGTCATGATTTATACCAACAGAGTGTCTAAAAACATGCCATTAACTTTAGTAGGGCTTTGACCAAATCCAGAACATCCTGAATGACTATGAAATTTATGTTGCACAAATTTACATCAACTATGATTTTCTTTTTCCAGTGGGCTTACTTATTATTTAGATGCAAGGATGCTACAAGTAGGTTTTGACAGCCCAGAATACTTTAGTCTCCAGGACTTTGTTATGGGCAATATCCTTAGTATGTTTTTATAGGAGAAATAATTTCCTCCTGCATAAATTACTCCTAACGATTGAATGTGTTCATCACTTTTTTCAAACTGATGTGAAGTGCCCTAGGTAAAATATTTAAACGGGTGAGATCTGTGAATCTGCCATGCAAATTAGAATAATGAAAAAATGCAGATAATTCTGATACTAAAGCTGATACTATTTTGGACCCCTGGTGTAGGAACAGAGGGTCTTCCTGCATTTGTAACAGGGAGTCTGCTATGTACCTTGTGTGACTGTGTATCTGATAGGCATCTGAGGTGCTGCTGCCTTTTCTTTGCTAGTTTTGCACGAATTTTCTGTTTGAGTGTATTCCTCTTTAAGGAAGAATCTACCCGGTTTGCTTAGCTTCATAGTTTAGAGAATTGGAGCCCCTCTCAGCATGAATACGTGGCAAAATTGATTTGAGAGTTGGGCGTGTGATTCAAATTGGCATTTCTGAGCCTGTTCTGTAGGGGACAGTCATCTCCCTTTAAAGACAAAATCAGTTGTGACACAGTGCCTACAGAAGCTTCGGTAAAAAAGAGGTCAGAGGAAATGGTTTTTATTGAAATACTGTGTTATTAAGAATCTGAAAGTAGACCTGTTAGATGTAGTCATGAAAGAAGTAATGCCAATATTTTCCCTTGTTGAGATGAGAGGATGCAAATAATGAAAAGGAAAGGTTTTAAAAGTTATTTTGAATATAATTAAGGGTTGTGTCCTTATAGTTGCACAGAAGGTGTCAGATGTCCATTGTTTTATGCTATGCAGAGATGGCAGCAGGCAAACCACGTTCATCCTACCAGCCAGAGCAGAATGGTTTCAGTGCTCAAACTCCCCCCACAAACCCCACCAAAAAAACCCGAAACCACCCCAACCAAAAAAACAACCCCCCCCAAAAAAACCCAGGCTAAAAGTTAGGGATCCTCTAAGACAAGACAAAAAGCTGGGACCAGGATCATGTTATTTTCAAACAAAAGCACTAGAGACAGCTCAAGGGAGAGCTCATGTTTAAATTTATCAAAAGTTGGTTGTTGTTGTTGTTTTTTTAAGTTAAGAATTAACAAAAAAGCCCCAGTAAAGTTGGTGAATTTTTCACCAGTAATCTCAGTAACATTGTGGAGTGGGACTTTACGTAAGCTTAGCAGAAATGCAAAGCAAGTATTTAGGCTGGCAGAATGAGGATTATTTGTAGATTAATGCGTGTCTGCAGTTTACATTGTGCTTTATAACTTTTTACTTCCAGGAGCATCAGAGTTTATGTGAATATGCTTTAATCCCTTGTCACACTGGTTGTGGACACATGGTGATGAGAAAGAAACTTGCAGATCATTTGGAAAATGGATGTGTTAATAATGTGACAATGTGTCAGAAGTGTAAGCGGAGCTTATCCAGTAGTGAATACCAAGTAAGAGCATTTCTCTGTTTCAAATGAGGGCTTTATATTAATGGCTTAAATAATCTATCATGACATTTTTCATCCTGATTTCATGAATGCTCGTGCACTTGGAGAATATTTAGTTTTCCTGAGTTTGCTAATTTTGCCGTGCATGTGTTGGAGGGAAAGATAAGCTGTATTTGATAGTCTGCTTGTGATGTTACAACAGAGAGGGAAATATCTGTGTCCTCATCCAGGACTCGAGCAGCCCATGTTCTAGCTCCTGTCTCAAAGCGTGTGTCCCAGTATGAGGTAGGAAAGAAGCAAAAGAACACAGGCAGCGGCAGGGAAGAGATCTTGAAAGTGGCTGGAGTTTTACTCAAACTAAAACTGCCCCAAAATTTGTCAGGCAGGCTTTTGTCTGATAGTATATGTGCCAGATATAACTCTCCAAATGAGCAGCAGTGTCCCTACAGACCAGGAAGAGCATACTCTGAGTCTGCCAAAAATTTCTCAATGACTATTTAAACATATTTAATTTATATTTTTTATGTTTAACTTGTATTTCCCACTGTTGTGACAGGGACTTGCAAAATGTATGTGTGTATGCCCTGTATCTATGCAGGGTAACACTGTCCCCAGCATTTGCTCAAAATCCTCTTCAAAACCGCCTTTTTTTTTAACACAAGAATGTAGTTGATCATCAAACTTTGAAATTTGTTACTGATTTGCAGATTTTAAGTGCCTTTATACATTAATTTTATCTTATTTTTACTCATTATTTTTACCCATTTTTGTAGATGCAGCACAGTACAAATTCTGGGAGTGGTCTGAGGGCATGAAGTGAGCTAGTAGAAACTCTTCCATGTTGCTGAAGGAGGAAATGGTGTGGTGGGGCAGATGAAAAGTGGTAGAAAATCAGCTGTTCTTGTACGAAGAGATTGCCGAAGATACAGCTTCAGGGGCACACTTCTCAGCCTCATGATGGAAGGGCATCGTCTGTTGTTTACATTTTGTGGTTAAAAGCTCCTGGAGCAAAGCAATAGCGGCATGAATGAGAGATGCCCTATGCCTGCTAACACCGTTATGTGTCTTTTGGTTTGAAAGCTCTGAGAACAACCCCACCTAAATTCTGACCCTGCGGGCTCTGTTGTCACAGAAAGTGCTGCTGGGGTGACACTTTTTTGGGGTGTAGCCGAATGAATATTGTTCCCTCCAGATGATTTAAAGAGAATAATTGCCAGCCTTGGAGTTTTGTCATGGAATAGTGATGTAAGACCGACATGGCAGGAAGGTTGTGAATATCTCAAAAATGTAGCCTGAAGTAAGTAGTAGTGGATAGCTTTGTGTGTCGTAACTGTCACAAGTTTATGCCTTTCCGAATACTGAGCTGTAAGATTTACTCAGCATGGGGGTAACAGTCCCTCTGGGGTAAGAAGGAGGCGCTCTTGCTAAAACGTGCTTCTTGGGAAGCTTTTGCATGTGCTCTTCATATCTTGCTAACTCTTACAGAGAGAGAGAGAAGAATATCTGGACCCAGACACGTTTTACCAGGGCTAAATCCAGTGTTTCAGACAGACCGTAAATACCAGAAGGTGGCAACGCTTAATCCCTTTCAGCCTTCTGTAAGTGCAGTAGGCAGGCTGGGGAAGAAACCTGAGCTGCCAGAGCGTTCCCTGAGCACCTTTCTCTGTTCAGAGGTCTGTGATACCGCAGATCCACCTCAGCGGGCTTCGTTTTCCTGCAGTAAAGAACTGTTTTCCTCCCACACTTTCCGGTTAGCTATCATCTAATTAATTTTTTGGTTAGGAAACCGTGGCAACCCAGCAGGGGATTGGCCTTGAGATGTTGATTTTTCTCTGCCCGCCTTAGTATTTGTAAAATTGGAATTTTGCTGGTTACGTGATCTGCTTCATTAAATTTGCAGTTACGTGGCATATGCATTTTGATTATTTGTGTGTATCCCATGTATCCACAATCTTCTGGGAGCACACAGTAAGTTTTGGGCACTGCTGTGGTGCTCTCTGTCTTAGCCAATCAATTATTGGTCTTGTGATTTTTGCATTTCCGCATTTTAAAGAAACTTCTTACCAGCCCCTCTCCCCCTCAAGAAATCAGCAATCTGAAGGAGTCAAATAGCAGAAAGGAATAAAATAAAGGCATACTTTGTGCAATAGCTAAGATACAGAGTATTAAAAATGAGTTAGAGAGTGAGAAAAACCTATGGCTATATTTCTCAAGATCGAAAGAGAAACCTTGGGACTCTGCAGGGGAGACTTGAGGGTTGCTGCAATGGCTTTATCAAAAAATTTCTAGACTGCTATATGAAATGTACTGGCATGCAAAGGCATTTATAAAGATTAAATATAGCCCCCCTGAACAGTATGAATGGGAAGCTGACAGCTGCTGTGTTAAATACACATATTACAGTTGTATGAACCAATGGCAGGAGGATTACTTTACCCTTCTTGGAGCCAGAAATGGCAGGAAGTCTCCTGTTAGTGGTAATGCGTTTTGCATTAGCACATCATGATGGAAAATTTGGATTCCAGCCTTCAAAATGTTAATAAGCAGGATGCAAGAAGGATCTGCACATTAAGCAAACTATATGGAGTCACTTCTAGAAGAGTTTATATTTGGGTTTCCTGTATATTTGCTTTCTGTTCTGTAATCCACCTGCATGTCATCGCATATGTATGTGTGTGTACATATGTGCGTGTGTGTGCGCGCACATAACTGGCTTGAACTGGGCAAGACTTGTACATTGCCAATCTTATATCGAATTTCCCAGGGTGACTTGCAAAGCATCTGTAAGTAGTTTCCAAAAGCTTTGGGCCCCACAAGCAAAAGATCACACTTTGTACTTCCACTTCACAGGTATTGCATCTGGAGATGCGTCACCAAACACGCCTGTTAGGCTGAGAAGAAGAGTAATCAGCTTAGAGGCTGAGCTTGAGAAACCTCTGAGTCTGCAATTCATTGTACAGGGGACAGCAGAACCCACTTTTAGCAGATGTGCTTTAGTCCTAAATTTCTGAGCATTATTTCCTCTAAAAAGAAGCCAGAGAACTCTGCAGCCTATTGCGTAGTGAGGCCCAGAGTGGGCAGTCTCTGGACAGGGGTACAGGATTTTGCGCCGTGTGTTGTGGAGCTCATAGTGCTCCTGGGGAAGTTACCTTTCCTTCCTTTACTCTTCCTTAAATCCACACCTTCCAGGAAGAAAGCAGGAAACTTATTGTAAGCTTTTTCTTCCATAACACAGAGTTTCTTGTAGAAAAGCTTCCCAAATCCCTAGGTTTCTGTAAAATGGGAATAGCATTCCCAAACACAGGCTTTGTTTCAAAGAAAGATGCTTAATGATTTTAATAATGTACTGAATTCTTTCCTTCTGTTTTAATGACAGGAACATTCATGTGAAGGCAGTTTATGTAAGGAACAGAAACGTGTGCAAACAGAAACACCATCAAAGGAAAATGTGGGTAAAAGATGGGTGAATGCAATACAGCTTTATTTCAATTCATAAAAGTATCACTTGTTCATTTAGATTAAATGAACATCTGAGAACATCTTCAGATATGGCAGTGTATTTGGGCGCTTTTTACATCCCAACATAGCTCTGCTGACTACCTTCTCTTCCCTGCTCCCACAATTACTTTAGTAAATTATCTTCTCAATTAATCTTACAAAAATGGGGAAAAGGTTTTTTTTCCTTTCAAATATTCATGGAGACCCACATTAGCAAAAGAAGAACATGCTGTGTAGCAGCATATTTGAAGAGACATGCTTTTGGTTGTGAAGGGGACTAAATTTGAATGTCACTTAGAGCATTTGGTCTGATAGATCCATTCATTCCCAGGATGCGCGGTACGACACAGCTCTTCTGTGCGTTCTCAAAGAGCAGGCAGAGAGCGGGAGAGGCTGTGTGCGTGGTGTTACCCACTGTGGTGGGCCACTGTGCTTATTGGCAGTTTATTTATGAGTTGTTACTAGGGGATCACTGTGGTTTGTTAAATTATGTTGTATCATTATGGAGTCTGTTAGATGGACACTTAACTGTCAGGCTGCGTGCAAGAAATTTGCAATCAACCACACTCTTGGCTGATTCACTAATGAATTTTCAAAGCTGGTTGGACATTGTAACCTGTGGTAATGCCTTGACTTGAATTAACCTGAGTTATAGCTGCTGGGTTTGTGGCCTAGTTGTTCGTAGGTACATGGAAGAATCCCTTTCAATTGGTATTTGATTATTTTCTTTCCCTTTTTTTTCCCAACAGAACCTCTCTACACCCTTAATCAACAAGGACGGATGTCGTTTTTCTGAAGTCGGCTGTTCGTTTAGGGTGAGTGAAGTGGCACACTGTGCCTTTGGTCTCGCCAGCCTCTGTGTTCAAGGTAGCAGGCCTTGATTTCAATATATCTTTAAGAAAAGAGGAAGTCTGCCCGCTTGCAGTAGATCAGCAGAGGTGATGTTGGAACTGCCATGGTTACACAGCATGGGTAAGGTGCAGTTCAGCCTGTGATACTCTTTATCTGGCACTGTGCATTCACTTCAGATAAAAATAGGTGTTTGTTACAATTCTGCTGGTTTATCAGTTATGCTGTTCTACTGTTTTGGATATTCCCTTCAGGGTAATACGTCTCAAAACAGTAATGGGGCTTCTTTGCATTTCAGTTGGCATCTGTTGCCTTGTCTCATCTTTTGTGCACAGTATATGTGTTAAATATTGGCTTATTTGGGAATCTGGCTGGGACTCTGCCTGGCCTCTTGTTTAACACAGAAATTGTAGACAGTTGTTTTCTTTATACGTAGCATGTGTACACATGTGAACACGTAGCCTAAACTGATCGTTGGAGGGCTGGTTGGTTTTCCTCTCTCCGTGTCTCCTCTGAGAGTCAGCTGCTGCGTAGCTGGACCTGTGTCTCACAGCTTTTCCATCCCTGTCTCTCCCAAGAAGTTGAAGGGAACGTTGCTTGATTTGGCCCCAGGCCAATTCTGGCAGTTGTTTGGAAAGTGTATTGACAGTGTTGTCTTCTTACAGGGAAGCAAAGAGAAGATAAAGGAGCATGAGAAAACTGCAGTTGGGGCCCACATGCTGCTTCTGCTGCAGCACATAAAGCAACTGAAGGCAAGCTTGAGTGCTGCTGCCAAAGCTGCAAACGGTTTCATCCCACAGTCAGAGCTGAATGTGAATGGCGCAGGAAAAAGCATCTCTGATCTGCAGATCCCGGGGGGGCTGGAAAGCAATGGGGATCTGGAAGTAGACTGTTTTCCTGGATCTTCTGTTTCTGAAGATGAATCTGTTCTGCAACAACTTGTGAGGGAGAAAGTGATTTCTGAGCTAGAAAATAAGCTGCACGTATTTGAGAATATCGTGGCAGTGCTCAATAAAGAGGTGGAGACCTCTAATTTGGAAATCACAGCCTTTCGGAGACAGAGTGAACTCGATCAAAATATAATACGAGGCCTGGAACTGAAGGTAGATAGTTACGATAAGCATTGTCTGGTGCTTGTTCTATAGATAACAAATATTTACATGTATCAGAGAGAGGTGGTGTAGAGATCAGGACAGGGATGGGAACAGGAATTTGAGCTGTGAAGTGTTAAGTTCTGGACCCATCTACAAGATTCTTTTGTTGTTTTGGATAAATTGTCAAATGGGGATCTCTTAATATTTCTTATCTAAATCTGTGTTTAGATACCTGGATAGTCCTGAGAGTTTTAAATGTTCAGAATTTCATAGAATCATCAATCAGAATTTGCCATGATCAGACTGTGTTCAAGCAAGACAGTAGTTTAATTGACAGATCCTCTTAAAGCAGCGTTATGCCTGGAGGACCAAACAACCATCTACAACAACAACCAGTTTTTTGCCTTATGTGCTGATATATAACTGTCACTTGAAACAAAATCAAGGGAGACTCTCCAGAACATGATGTCTCCAGAACGATTCTGCCATTTCTGCAGCATGACAGCCTGGAGAGGGGTGTTGACTGAAAACTGATTTGTTTTTTCTAGGTTGCAGAGTTGCACCGGTGCCTGACGCAGAAGGATGCAGGCCTGAGCAGTCTTCATAAGAGTCTTCTGTTCTCTGAGCAAGCTTCCTACGATGGGGTCTTTCTGTGGAAAATAACGGATGTTGGCAGGAAGTTACAAGACTCTGTGACTGGAAGAACAGTCAGTTTGTATTCACCAGGTAAAACAAGACATATACGTGTGTTAGCAAAACCCAGTCCTTTAGAAAACCTACCGATTTCTCTAGAACGGTGCTTCTTCCTGCTCATGTGGACAGGAGGTCCTTTAAAATAGCTCCTTAAACTAAGATGCTGTTTATGCAAAGGCTTCATGCTCTCCTGCCTGCAATTCAGGGCAGGTGTGATGTGCTTATCCAGAGAGTTGTGTTCTGTTCTGGGCTTTCATTTTGCAATTTGCCCTCTGCCGCAGCTACTTGCAGTGACATCTGCTGGATCTGTCTCGTCTAACCCACGGCTGGGTGCTTATGGTACCGAATGGCTTTCTGCGGCAGTTATCTCCCATGCGACAAGTAATTTGATTAGGTAAAATATGCTTGTGTGGCTAATAACAGGTAGTTTTCATGGAGGCGTGAGGCACTAAAAGTATTCTAACCACTGGATTTTCATTGCTTATAATCTTCAGGGTGTACTGATTTGTCTTCTCATCTCTGTGATAGCAAAACACGTCATACATCTTTTCCCGTATGTCAGAAGATTTGTTATGTCTTTTTTTCAAAGGAGGCTTTACTAATGAAGAGTTCTGATTTTCAGCTTTCTACACTGCGAAGTATGGCTACAAGGTCTGTCTGAGGGTTTATCTGAATGGGGATGGGACAGGAAAGGGAACCCACGTGTCCCTGTTCTTTGTTGTCATGAAAGGAGACTACGATGCTCTGCTCCCGTGGCCTTTCAGGCACAAGGTAAGAAGGGCAACCTTTTCGGTTCTGATTCTGGCATAAACCCTCCGCTTCTCCCAGTGAACACAAGAGGACTTTTTCTCTGGAGTTTAGTGGAAGTTGGAGTGTTTTCCCATTTTCCTCTCTGATGGCTATTAGCCATACCCAAATCTTGTGTAGTAATTTGTCTCTGAAGGGAGTGATTTGCACCCAGGGAAAGCTGCTCTTACTGAGATTCCATTCTTTGCCTTGTAGGATTTTCAAGCCCCAGAATACCGGTGTTTGGTATCTCCCAACCTGTGTCCACCTGGGCTAAAGCCAGAGACACATTTTCTCCTGGCTCTTGCTATACATAGATAACAGCAGTTTTTGAGGGAATTATGATTTGCTGTCTGAAGCACAGGTGTCAGAAACGGGAGGTTAGAGTTCTACTTACAAATGTGCCATAGATGTCTTATGTGATCCTGATCTTATTTTTTCTCATTTTATAAGTGTAACCTGATAATGGCAACAATGGTTAGAAAAGCAGTGAAAGTACGCGCAGGGCTCTGATCTCTGTTCTCACACTTGCATTCATGTGGTAATAATTCCGTAAACCTTTCACATAAATAGCCACACTACCATTTGGCGGCCAAAAAAAAAAAGAAAGCAAAGTTCCCAATCCTTACTGTACTAAAAATTATTACATACATTTCATATTTAAAGCTAAATAACAGTGAGTTAGTAATAGTGGTAATGAGATGGGGAGATTCTATACTGATATTTAGGTTGTGTCTTTTACATATTTGCGTACAGGCAACTGAGCTGTTTCTTTTAATTCCAAACCCCAATAACAGAATGAATGTAATGGCTGTAACCAAACTCCGGGTTTGTTTAAGTTGTCAGGAGAGAGAGGAAAAAGTCTTTGGACTCTGCAGTTCTGTACCAAGAAATAATTGCTTACTTTATTTTATTTAATTTTATTTTATGGGTAGCAAAGTTTTAAATACTTCATCTGGGAACTGTTAGAATCTCCCTTGTTCACGTTAACTGAACTTGCAGGTTGTGAAACATTCACTATAATTTGTACTTAATTATCGACAGAGAATCCAGCTGCTTTTGCTGCATGTTTGCACTTCTGTCTCTAATATTTTCTGGTTTATTTTTCCATTCAATAGCTCATCATTGCTGCATTCTGTTTTTCAGGTTACGTTTATGTTGCTTGACCAAAATAACAGGGAACATATTATTGATGCATTTCGCCCAGACTTGACTTCTGCTTCATTTCAGAGACCAGTGAATGACATGAATGTTGCGAGTGGCTGTCCCATGTTCCTCCCTCTGTCCAAATTACAGTCACCTAAATATGCCTATGTGAAAGAAGACACGCTTTTCCTTAAATGTATTATAGAAACAAATTAGTAAATCTTGAAATGTGAGTGTCTGGTAAATCACCCACTGAATTTCATTAGTTTACAAGAAAAAAAAAACCAACATCAGCTTGAGACCTTGTATTAGTTTTCACGTGCGCACAAAATCCAGAGAGCCTCAGCCTGTGCTCCGCTGAATCCGTTCACGTCAGCCGCAGAGCTGCCTGCTGGAGTTAGCTGCCGCTGGGCACGCCGAGCGCTTCCACCAGTGCCCCGCCGAGTGTGCTATTGCAAATGAAAACTGTGATTATTTCATCGAAACAGCCGATACTCCCGGTTTAGATGTAGTTTCCAGTCACCCCTCTCCCCTCGCAGATGCACTTGTGGAAAAGGCGCTGTTCTTCCCGCGCCCTGTCCGCTGCGGGGGCCGTTCTGCCTGGGCGGCCGGCAGGGACTGCGGCCCCAGCTGCCTTCGAGCGCCCTGGGGTTTGTAGGTTTCTGGGATGCGAGGGGTGAAGCCGAGCTTTCCCCAGCCTCCGGCAGCGCCGCAGCGTGCGGCTCCCTTTCCCGGGAGGTACGGAGCGAGCACCTGTCGGACCGCGCTGGCTGCCAGCCCTGATGTGGGATTTTGGCTCTTCCCCCAGGAGGGACAAGGGCAGATTCCTTCCCCCGAGGCACCCATCGGGTGTCTCTGTTTGTGCTTATTGATGACCTTGAAAGCAGAGAGTTGTGGATTGCATTTGTTGCTTGAATTCCCTGTACTGGATGTTTTATTTCTTGCTATTTATTTTAGACCTATATTTATGTGCTCTGTAAAGAGATGTGCTGTTGAGAGATGACCAGATTACACTGTGCCTTGGGGAAATTACCTCTTGTATTTCCAAAAGAGTCACTTGACTTTCCCATTTCAGACAGGGAGCTCTGAGGGTTGTTAACCCCGGGAAGTCTGGAGCTGCCAGTCCAAGCAGTGCCAAGGGCCCCTCGGGAGCTTTGTTTTGAAGTGTTCGGTCACTTTCTGAACCTTCAAGGCAAGTGACTTATTAGAAAATATTGATTTTTTTTTTTTCTTGCTTAATTCTTTTTATGTGCTCTGATGTTTAAGTCTTTTCACGTGCTAAAATAGAAGTAACTACTAGAAATGTTTTTGTCTTTTTTTAAATAGAGGTAAGGAATGATTTTTTATTTTTTTTTAATAAGCAAGTCAAGCTTGGGAATGTCTGGATGTTTGCAAAGTTCAAATGCTGTGTCTTATCCCCAAACAGCAGCAAGCCTTCCTCTCTTCGCTCCCTGCTTAACGACCGTTTGACGGAATCAGTGGAGCTGAGCTTGGGTTTGCCGCAGCAGTTTCTGAACTCCCGGCAAACCCAGCGCGGTGCGGGTTGCTTGTGCCGGGCTGCGAGCTGTTCCGCGGGACGGGGGGCTGCAGCGTACAGACCCCCAGGCCTGATCCTGCAGACAGGGACCGGTGTGTATTCGAAGGCTTTTATGCGATTCTTTCATTCATTTTTCCCTTTGCAATATTTCCCATGTCTCAATTGAAAGCACAAAGCTGACAGACAATGTTGTGCCCGCTGTGTGAGAAGGGAGAGGAGAAACTGTTTGTCCACTTATATTTTGCAAACCATGGAAACCGCAGCCGTCTCGCAGAGCTGGTGAAATGTCATGTGCTGTGACTAACCCCCAGCCTGTCTGCCGGCGTATGAAGAGATTTTGCCAATCTCTCGTTTCTATCTTGACAGCATCTTTTAAAATAATTAGTTGTGATGAAGTATCAAGTTTCAGAAAAACCCCATAAACAACTAACAAAGCTTCTTTGGGAAAGAACTGGATATTTTTTGCCATCACACACAGAGTCTGTCTCTCTCTCTCAGTGTCTTTTTCTCTCTTCCATGTTTAAAATGTTCTTTCAGGGACAGAAATTTATTTTTCCAGTAATGTGCCAGGCCCGTAACCGCACTGGAGTAATATGCCTAAAAATATTATGCTTTTCATGGCTGTGTAATTTTGACAAGCGCTGTATTTATTACAATCATTCATATTTTCTTACTATTTATTTCCTAAATAAAGCTCACTAACTTAAAAAAAGGTCGGTGTGTCATCTTCCCTGTAAAATTGAGCAATGGGGACAGGGGTTTGCTATCGAAGGAGCTGAGCGGTGCCGCGGACCTCACTCATTTCTCCAGCAGCAGCACCAGGGAGGTTGAGGCAGCGCGGGGCCCTGACCCGGGGACAACCATCCCTGTCCCGCGGTGCTGCTCCTGCTGACGCTCAGTCGAGCGCGTGGGACGAAGTGCGTTCCCTGTGGTCCTGCAGGACATCGGTGGAAACTTCGGGAATGAGCCCTAAAGTGTCCCTCACGTCAGTGCCGTAACAACGGGGTCACTTTTCCATTGCCTCTGGAAGGTGGTGTTTGTATGGAAGACGTAGCACCCAATAGATGGGGTTTTGACATGGAAAATTGAATAAAGGGTTGTACAACCCCAACCCCCCGGTGGTGTCACTGCCCCCGCCAGCCGGGCTCAGCGCACAGGGGGATTTGGGTGCAGGGAGAGGAGCGTGGGCGATGATGGCACGATCCGGCACAGCGAGCGTATTTCCAGAGCTGCTCCTGCAGCCAGAGCGGAGCGGGGGGAGGCGGCAGCTGATCTCACGAGAATTACTGCGGATTAAGACAGTGGTCGGCCCTGCCTGGCTGCCAGGGCACTGGGAGCTGCTCTGTACCTGTGTAAGCTTTCCTTGGTCCTCGCTGGCTGTGCAGCTGCTTTTCCATGTTTGTTTGGTTTTGGTTTTTTTTTTTTAAATTAGCTGATTTTATCATAGCGGGCATTGATTTCCCAGGGCGGCTTGGCTGCCTCTTTGATCCACTGTTACTTTTTTTTGGTATAAAATCCTTTTCCGCATAGAGCTGTTATTTTTTAAAAATAATTAGGAGGGTTTTCCTTGTGTGAGAAAGACAGAGAGAGAAGGTGGGGGAAAATGAGTAAAACCGTGTGTGGGTGAGAGCTGGGAAAAGAGAGAAAGTACGTGGGAGAGAAGATGTGAATATGTGTGTGCGAGAGAGAATATTTATGTGTATGTGTCTGCACCGACGGAAGGAAAAATGTGAGTGCATATGTGCAGGTTGAGAGGTACATCCAGCGGAGAGTGAATGACCTGACGCCTCTGTGCTTTTCTCTCGTGTGATTCTACCAGGAACAATTACACTGAGGTTTTTTTTTTAATCCTGTGCACAGCCGGGATTTCAGCGATGGCAGGAGCCCGGTGTCGCTGCGGGCGCGAGGTCAGATCACACAGAAGCAGCACAAGCTGTGGGGAAGCAGAAGCACCCGCGCCGGCCGAATCCATACCCTGGAAAAAGGATGCGATGAGCCGGGGCTCTCTCCGTCCTGGTGTGACCGATAGCAGTGGGGCAGGACGGGGTGGGCTGGAGACCTCGCTCAGCGCCTCCCTTCTGCAGGGGGGAGCGGGGGGAGCCGGCGAAGCCCTCACCGGGGCGTCCTCCTGGGAGGAGAGGGCTGACGATGGCGGAAGGGACCCGCTTGGTAAAAATCAATTTTAAAAGTTTCTTGGAAAACCTTTAATTCCCATTTTCTTTCTAGCCACGGATTCCCAATGGGGAAATCCCTGAAGGAAGATGTGAAGGAAGCTGAAGGGTTTGCAGGACACTGCGCTCATCATCCCGCAGTGCAGGGCTGGGGCGGAGGTGCCTCTGACTGCTTTGCTGCTAAATCACTGGAGGAGCATCGCATGGAGACAGCTTTTGGGATGACCCAGGCCTGGATGGCAAATGTCTACAAAGGGAGGAAATTTCATTACTGGCCGTGCTTGTGGGGCCAACAGCTCGTTGGTGTAAAGCCATCCCTGGGGCGGGACATAGATGAAGCGTTGCTCGTTTCCAGCAGGTAGCAGAGGTGAGCTGGACTGCCGTGAAACTTGTGAAAGTGAAATGTTTATCGTGAGCTCTGCGTACGTGCAATTGATGGAAGAGTCTTGAGATTACGTGGGGCCCAAAACGGCAGCGAGGAGCCCTGAAGCCACGGGTTCACGCCGCGGGCTGGAGCCCCTGGAGGAGCGTGGTGGGCTGGAGGAGCAGCGCTGGGGCTGGGGCTCACCCTGCCGCCCGAAGAGCAACAGCGAAGACTTGGAGCCGGTCGTTTCTGTGCTGCAGGCTGGGGTGTGGGTTGGGGATGCCCGGCTAGAGGAAAGGGGGAGCAAAACTGCCCTCTCTCGTTGCCCCGAGAAGCTGTGGCTGCCCCATCCCTGGAGGTGTTCAAGGCCAGGTTGGACGGGGCTTGGAGCAACCTGGGCTGGTGGGAGGTGTCCCTGCCCAGGGCAGGGGGTGGACTGGATGGTCTTCAAGGTCCCTTCCAACCCAAACCATTCTATGATTCCATAAATCCCCCAAGGCAAGTGAGGGGCTACCAGAGCCACCCGTGGGGCCATGGCCTGGACTCATGGTGGCACAGGAGGTCCCTGTTGGCACAGCATTGCACCACATAGACACAGCCCAAATTCTTCTGGAGCACTGATAATTACAGTCGCACTAACAGGCATTCGCTTGGGCAGTTCGGTAGCTGGGTCAGCAGGGCAAACATCCCCCGGTAAACACAGATCTTCACTTTCCATTTTTCACTGTTGCCCAGGAACAAAATGGGCTTTTCTTCCTTTCTTCTTGGGGGGATGTCTTTTCTGCGCCGTACTCAGAAACTGCAGACGTGTACATAACATATCTGTGTCAAAATTGTGTAAGGACTCCATTAATATAAAACTTGCACAGCTGTAAGAATACTTACAAGCTCTTCATGTCTTATGCAATTGCATAGAAGCACGCAAAGAAAGTTAAGTTAATAAAAAAGGATATGGATTAAATTCATGCTAAATAAACAATAAAAAGACATGAAACCCAATGCCTAAATGCTCTTCCTTTTAAAGGCACAGCTGGCATAGAACAGCTGAACGTCAGATTTAACGACTCTGATTCGAATTACAACCATACCTTTGTTCGAATATGCCCTTTGGTATATCACTTTTCTCTGAAAGGGCTCGAACCAGAGCTCACTCCCCCTGTGCCGCGGCGCGCGAGGCGCTGCCGGAGCATTACCGCGTCCATGTGGAATGCATTGAGCCGTGGCGCTTTCCAAACACGGGGCTCCGCTGCGGGCTCTGGTGTTCCTGGAACAGGCTCCTGATTTTCATCTCCAAGACCTTCGGCCCCAAAACCCTCTTGATAAGGAAACAGATGACACTTACCGGGAAAGAAGCTGAAATCGGAGTGCTATCAAGATTTTTTTGATCCTGCAAATCATTTCTGTTGCAGAAATGAACAGCCGAAGTGATTTTTTTTTGGTCTGGACCAAATCAAACGATGCAGAAAAATCAAAGAGTTTCAGTGAGCTAAGTCAGGACCGGTTGCTCCGTGTTTAAGGGTTAGGCTGGCAAAGAGTCACGGTGCTTCTGCAGCTGCGATGGTCTAAAATAATCAAGGACAAGGTTTGTAGGGAA